CTTTTGTCTTTTTCTTTAAGGCAATCATTGTCACTTCTGTAAAGTCCTTGGGCCACTCCCCAGTTTCATATATGGTGTTTATTAGTTCTGTCAGTGTTTTCAAACCACCTTCTCCCAGTTACTTAAGCACATCTCCAGGTACCTCATCATCTCCTGTAGCCTTTCCATTCCTCATGTCCTTGATAGCCTTTTCCACCTCACTTTGTAAAATATGTGGTCCTTTCTCGTCTGTATCTACTTCTTCTTCGGGTTCCACTTCCAAGGTTTCTATGATCAATAAATCCATTCACCAATCCAAACCCCATCTATAGTCACACACCAAACTGTGACAACATACTACAAATTTAACCCTTACCTCTCAGTATTACAGGGGTTGGCAGCTAGATTTTAATTTTGGGGAAGAGGGTATCACTTTCTTGGCCAGTAATGTCACAGTACCGTGAGATCGGTGGCCATATCTTACAATATTATATTTAATACGTGAGAGTATACACCTGATGATCGCCATTTACGGCCAAAACATGTAGTGTAGAAGAAAAGAAGACAGAAGAACTACAATAAATTGTTGCACTTAGGACGGAATTTGTGTCATACATTGCCACATCTTAACTGCGCTATAAAGGCAGCAGCGGACAGCACACAAAGGACACTGTCATACTGCAATGAACAGCTGGCTGAGGTTAACAAATTCTATAATTATAGAATCTGGACAGATTATAATCTGTCCAGATTTTTAACATAACAGCAACATACCTTTCCATTAATACTGAGAATGCCATTCATCTTCATAATCTCTTCTTGTAATCTGCTTTCAAATTCTCCTCCATCTTGATTCCTCTGCTGCATCATAGATGACAATACTGGTAGATCTAGTTGTTTTCTTGGCCTTTGAAATGTTCCTTCACCTCTTGTTATTCCTTCCACTGTGTGGGGCATATAAAAAAGAACATTTCAGTTTCTGGCACGGATTACGGCAGTAACTTGTATTCGGTGGGGGGAAGGGGGAGGCAGAGTCTGAACCTAATGGTGCTCCTCCATCCCATCAAGGTGAATGCCAAGATAGAATCTTCCATTAGGCCACAACCACCTCCTTCCAAAGCCTTACACTACATAGTGTAACTATTAAAAGTATTGTTAAACCACCCACATAGAAGAGTACTTACTGTCTTCTGGGATGTAATGCGGTATAGTCCACTGAAAGCCAACTGATGTTTCAGAGGAACATATTGCCTCCATCTTCAGGGTCAAAGAATAACCCAAGCTGGCATCTGCCTTGCCACATGCTTTAACACTGGTATCTTGTTCAGCTTATTCTTTGACCATGAAGATGGAGGCAATATGTTCCTCCAAAATGTAGGTCGACTTTCAACAGACTACATAGCGCTATATTCCAGAAGAGAGTGCTTTTCATAACAACCATTTTACACGACGTGGATGTGGGAAGTGCTGCCAATGTTTCAGGGGTATATGCTGCCTCCATCTTCAGGGTAGAAGGATTTGCTGCTGCTGGCTTCAAGGTAGATCCTTGTTTGACTCACTTGTTTACCCTGAAAATAGAGGCACATGTTCCTCCAAAATATGAACTCCTAAACATCCCAGAAGATAGTACTCCCCACAAAACTAAGAGATACTGCATGTCATTTGTGCATGTGGCACATCACTGAGCAGAAAGATGGGACGCCATGAAAACTAGAATTACAGGCAGTCTTACAAAAGGGGCATGAGAAGGTAAATTTGTCCTTGTGCTTAATTAAGCAAATATGCCACGGAGATGTACAGAGGAGTGGATGTATAGATCCACATACTCTTGACCTTGGCAATAGATAGGGATGAATTATCAGCTTCAAGCCCCAGCTGCTTTACACCCCTGGTACCTATTGGATAAGAGGCTGGGTGGGCCCCAGAACCAGTCTGGATGTGGAGAAGAGAAAAATCACACCCCTACAAGGACCCAAACTCCGACCTCTCAGTCGTCCAGGCTGTAACGAGTCACTATACGGACCAAGTTGTCCCGGCTCACCTTACTTTCAATATATAAGGAAGATTGCGGAAGTCAGCCAGCACAAGGAGCATGCCTTCACACTACTCAGCACCGCAAGGTTCATTACAAATCACAAGTTCATAGTGTATCGCTGCCTGTGAAATCACCACTTTGTGTTTCTTCAACTAAGGGGTCAAATGCATTCATCTCAGCATTAAGCAACCCCCACTTAGGTTTTTACTTGATCTCCTAATTTATTTGAAGATGTGGGGTAAGACAGAATACTTCAGTACTGTAGCCTCAAATGGGTGTCCTGTTAGATGATACGAAGCACAGGGGGAATAAGTAGCAAGGCGTAAACTGAACTACTCGGAGAAAAACCTGCCCCAAGTAGCTCTAGGTCCACCATAAATCCCACATGGACTAAACTGGAAGACAACCTGGACATAAATCACAGAGTAATACCAGCAACTGATTAACGATATGATATAAGTTTAGCAGAATTCCGACAAGAAACTTCATCCACAGATTTCAGTGTAACCACCTTGAAACATATATACATATAGGTGCAACTCCACAGATCTCCAATTTGGATGCTATTAGGACATTCAACATCACTAATTATTGGTATGTAAGCAAATGCTACCCTATGCATGCAGGTCTTCCACTTATCTCGGGGCATGCTCTTGTGAACATGTGAACCTAAAATTTACTAAAATAAATTTAGAAGATTATTGCAAAGACCAGGATCTGGAAGCATGTGCTCTAAAGTTAGACTCTCCTTTTTCTAATATTTGTATACTGACTTTATATAGAGCCCCATCTGGAAACTTCAATCACTTTATAAATAGATTAGAAACCATCCTAAATGTACTGCATAGTTCAAAAGTTGAATTTATAATTTGTGGTGATATAAATATAAACTATCTCATCGACAGTAATAGGAAACTAAATTTAGACTCTTTGTTATCATCTTACAATCTCTCCAGTACTGTTAACTTTCCCACAAGAGTTCAAAATAATTCTAGTTCAGCGATAGATAATATATTCATTGATAACTCAAAATT